TCAACAGTGTCCTATTGTTATTGTTAAAATTTGACACGGTGAGTACAAAAAAACAGAGTCGAATTTTGTGTTAGCTATCGCATCAAATTTAATATGATCATTGATTTTTTCTCAAATTTATTATGTTGTCTAAAAAAATGTTACATCATATATTTTTTATATGACCATCAAATTTTATTTAATATAAATTTGAATTAAGTTAATAAATTGAAAATTTTAAAAATATTAATTATTGGATTTCAATTTGTTAATTAAAATTTTAATTTAAAACACTGCAATTAAATATAATTAGGTACAAACAATTATATTGTATAACAAAAATTGAATAATGTTAAAAAAATAAGATAATTACAGATACACCCTTTAGAGTCTGTCGAAATACTACCCTCACGTTCCGAAAATAACAATTACTCACTAACTATCATAATTTTTTCTAATAGTAAAATGAAATTATTATACTACCCTCATTTTCATCCACTTACCACCAAATTTCTCTCTATACCACCACAATATTTTTTAACCCTCATTGGTGATACACCAAATGTTTGTAGGCAATAATGACATTGATATTGATCAAGAGTGAAAGAGGGTGATGTGATGATTTCATGATGTAGTATTATTAATTAAGAGAAAATGAGAAAAAATGAAAGTAAGATAAATAAATAAATAAAAAGAAAAAATAAATAAAGTGATTAACTTCATAAAGGTTAACATATGTATTTATAGGGGAAAAAATGTTACTGATGTCATATACTTTGTTAGTTTGATTTAAATAGTTGATTAATAGAGGAAGCTATTTGTTATATGAATAGAAACTTCAAAAGTGGAGATGAATTCTCAAATGAAAAGAGAAAATCCAAAAAAAATCCCGTATTTATAATTTACCCTAGAAAACAACACATATAGACTAGTGGAGTTCATGATCTCTTATCTTTGGAATATATTTGTGTGATTTTCAAGAGAGTTTAAACCCAATTAGATGATGTGATTTAGGAAATTACTTGTGTCCTAAATCTTGCATATTAGCTTATCCATCAGAGGAACAATTAACTTGTCTAGATAGTCCTTATTGCCGGGCCTTGTTTGGGAACATTTTAATTTAGTAATTTTTTTATTATTTGGCTAAAATATGAGCTAAAAAAAATTAGTATGTTTGGGATGACTTTTTGACTTTTTACGAAAAGATGTGCAAAAAGTAGAGAGAAAAGAGAATATTTGACTTTTTTGTATGGATTGTTAGTTTTTTAATTTTTTTAGTGACTTTTTAACTTTTTGGCTAAAAAAATTACTTGTCAAACGAGGCCAGTTTTTTGGTTTTTTGGCTATTTTAACTACAAAAAGACAAAGCCTGCGTTTGGTTGTATTTTGTAAATGTGATTTGAGAGTATGAATTGTATTTTGAGTTTATGGGTTGTAGAATTATGATTTGAGTGTAGAAAATTTGTTTGGTTATGATTTTTAAATAGAGTTTTGAATTGTGTTTTGAAGATATATTTTGAATTATGTTTTGAAAGTTTGATGTGACATGTGAAAGGTGAAGATTTGTTTGGTGATGTGTTTTGAAAATAATTTTCAAAACTTAATTCAATCAATAATTTATCATCAAACACACAACTCATATATCGATATCGATATCTATATTTTTTATCAACAATAATAACCAAACTATTTTTAAAATACTGAAATTAAACATTGATTTTTTTTGTCAATTATTTTTTTTTAGTAATTTTTTTGAATAATTGTGATTCCGAAATAATTTTTTCATTTTAAAATAAACCGATGTCAATTTTTTCTGCCAATTAATTTTTCTATCAATTCATTTATAAAATACGTTTTTAATTTTTTTCTAACATTTTGTTAAAGTCAACAACTTTTGAAAATACATATTAATAAATAAGGGATAAATATACTAACTTTCATATTTTAAAATACAAATCATAATATAAATCTTACAAAATATTATCAATTTATTTTTCATTTATTACATTTTTTGTAATTTAGTACAGATGTGTAACAGAAATGCACTCTATTATTGTCCACGAAGAGCTCATATAATTGTAGGAATTGACATATGAAATGACCATTATGCCCCTGGACTTAAATGAGAAGTGATGATATAAAACAAAATACAAAGGGTAAGATCGTAATTTCACTTACTTAATATATACTCCCTATTATATAATAGCTGTGTTCTAGCTGTGTTCTAACACTGATGGAAAGAAAAAGCAGAGGACGCATGTGATATTGATTTGAAAAAAGTAATAATATTATAGTTAACAAATAAAAAGTAAAAAAAAAATAAAAATTCCTACAATTATATGAACCTGACCCTTCTGAACCTCACCCTTCCTATTAAATCTGAACCTCCTTCTATTTAACGCACCAACTTCACCTTCTCGGAAGCACTTTCTCCAGTTACATCACAGAATTAATTTAGACAAGTAGAAGATATCCACCATCTGGTTAGGTCCTCCTTCTCCACTTCCATAATTTACAGGTGAGATTTTCATGCCAGTTCATCTTCATATTTGGTTCAAACATGAGCTTCAGAAATTCAGACATGAGCTTCAGAAATTAGCTTCACTGAAGGGGGAGGGGAGGACGACCGGCCGGTCATCCCGTGGGACTTCCGGCCGGTCATCCCGGCCCAGTCACTTTTCATTTCTGTTCCATTTTCATAAATCTGTTCCATTTTCATTTGTTATATTTTTTGATATCTGTTTTAAATTTTTCGCACTATCATTTATTTTTCTAAGTATCAGTTTCTAAGTTCTAATAAACTCTATGAATCAAACCCCAATGACAAATATTATTCCTTATGATTTTTTTTTTTTATACAAATCTGTTTCTTTGGAATCTGCCTAATTAAATTTTGTCACCAAATTTTTTTATATTTATTTTTTTCATAAAAAAAAGTTTGTATGCATAAAAAGATACTAATGTTTGATATATTTTTCATTCATTTTTCTTACCTCTCGTATATTTTAATATACATTTTTCTTTCACTTTTACAGTCATCATGCCAAGAACAATCATGCCAAGAACAAAACGAACCAGACCCAAAGTTGGTGAATCGTCAAACCCTGTACCACCACCACAGCAACAAGATGATGGCTATCCAACTAATGATTTTTATTCATATCATTATGAACAAGCCAATGAACATTTCATTCGTCGACCAATTGTTACGGGGAGAAACGTAAAACTACCTTCTCAATATGATTCACTCTTAATTGGCAAATTAGATACAATGGGATGGTTACCATTAAATAATTTACCAAGTAAGATATATCCCCGTCTTGTACAATTATTTTATGTTCACTTGACAGCGGGTGACCAACAAAATGAACCGTGGAGTCTTACCTCTTATGTTAAAGGGAAAAGAATCACACTCTCTCTGCGTCGTTTTGCACAAATTATTGGAGTCGAAACAGGAGATTTACAATGTTATTTTCAAAATGAGTCTGCCTTAGAAAAAATTGTTGATGATGTCACTCAGATTTATACCACAATTTGTGACAATCGATTTAGCGGCACTAATTTAAAAGTCAGCCATTTAAAACCTCACCTTCGTATTCTCCATCGATGGATAGTTGAAAATGTCACCCCCAAAAAAGGACATTATAATATTGTTGCATGTTTTCAAGTTTACTTGTTATATTGTTTTGAAATTGGACAAAAATTAGATTTATGCTTTATATTACTAAAAGAAATGATGGTTGCAAAATTGGATACTCTGAGTGGCCGGTCCCTACCTTTTGGAGCTTTACTAACCATAATTTTCAAAGCCCATGATGTGAACCTTGAAGATGAAGCATGGATCAGAATCACTTCACCAATTTCTGAATATACACTGACCCGAGCTGGTGGTTCTGACACGTTGATGGGCTCTCTTAATCTTCAAAATGAACCAATACCTGATGAGGAAGAACCCCATGACAGTGCCATGCCACCAAATGAACAACCCCGTTACTGGACAGATTATTTAGCCTTGGAACAAGAACGGTACAATCAGCGCCTACAATGGGAACAACAAATGGCTAATCAGCTCAATACACTGGGTACTCGGTTTGATGAATTTGGTACTCGATTCGATGAAATTGCCACCGCTCAGAACTCACTAATTCATCAATTTGGCGAGTTCCACGTAGACTCCGAGAGACGTGCTGAACTGACAAGGAACCGCATTGATCTGATTGACCATCGAGTCACTCAGCTGTACCATCAGCATTTCCCTCCACCTCCAACACCACCTAATAAGAATGCTTAACTTGTTTAAAAATCATACGGTTGTTATATTTTTTTCCCTTATTTTTGTTTTGCTTATTTATTTGGTGAGTTTTGTTGTGATTGTTTTACTTTTGTTATTTTGTTATAAACTTTTCTATTCACGTAATGAATAAGAACGAGGGGTTTTTTTTGGAAGCATTTAATTACACAGTTATAATGTTAATAAATAGTATGTCATACATGTCTATGAAAACCTTCATTTCAATAAAAAAAAATAAAAATTACACAATTATTAAATAATTTGTGTGCATCAATTAATAGAAAAAATGAAATTAATGTTCTGAAATGAAATACAATAAGTTACAATTTAATAATAAACATGTGTACCCAAAAAAAAAATGACATTTAATAATCACCAAATTTTTTTTTAATGAAGCGGGAAAAAAAAAATCATATAACATTATATACAAAAAAGTGAATATAACCTTTTGCTATAAAATCGGGTGATACAAAAAAGTAAAATATAATAATTATTTTATGTTATTTAATTTATTATTATTATTATTCTTATTATTATTCGTTATTTGTTACACTTTTAAATGGTGAACTTATCACCACCACCACCTACCACCACCAACCACCCACCTGCCACCACCACCCATCACCACCCACCACCTATCTGCCACCACCACCACCACCCACTACCCACCACCCACCACCACATTTAATTTAATGACAACATATTTATTTCTAAAAGTTATTAAGAAACACATTGCATATTAATAACATATTTAATTGTCTTTGGTAGACTATACATAAATTTGCATATTACACATTGCATGAACAACATATTTAACTACACATGTACTAAGAAAACCATTATCTTCAGTGCCCATGGTGAACATGATTTTGCCACATAGCAGTAGCAATTGCATCCCTAACGTTCGATTGGGACGTTAACCCATGTTGTGACATGTCAACGTAGTCAGGTTGGTCTCCAGGAAGCCCGTCTGCTTCTGCTTCTGCGGCCATTTCATTATCAGCTTCCATAAATAATGGATCCATAACTGCATGCAAACGGATCCAATTGTGCACGACACAACATGCAATCACGAGAGGCCCTTGTCGTGTAGACTTGTAATTTGGCATGGACCGCAATATTGGGAAGCGCTTCTTCAAAACACCAAATGTTCTTTCTATGACGTTGCGTAATGACGAATGTCGATGGTTAAACAATTCCTTAGGTCCTGCATAACGATGGCCACGAAACTCTTGCAAGTGATATCGTTGAGACCGAAATGGAGCAAGAAATCCAGGCATGTTCATGAAACCAGCATCAACTAAATAGTACTTGCCTACATGTAAATAATGAATACACAGTTCTGTTAATTGATATGTATAAAAACAGCCAAGGAAAAAAATATACAGTATGTTGTTCAGGGACAGTCACCATTGGGTGGGTGTGGGAACT